CTAACCCTAACCCTAACCCTAACCCTAACCCTAGTTGGTCCACCCATCTTAAAGTGGCCAAGGTTGAGAAACAGTGCTCTACTCCAACCAGCACAGAATAGGGAGCCTCTGTGTCCCTTTTTGATTTTAGGAATCGCGATTGGGGAGGGGGCTTCTGCCCTCTTTTCCAAATCCAAGATGGCATTTATACTGGCCGGGGGTGGGTGGGAAAGTGAGCTTATAATCCATGCCAATCACTCGCAGGCTGCAGGTCCAAATGTGGGGATCGCCTCCCTTCCTCTCTCTCTCTTCCTAAAATTAGTCCGAACTCGTGGGCATTGCCCACCTGAATTTCCTTTCCTTTGCTAAGCTAAGCACGGCTGGGCTTCCAAAGGGCTTGAAGAGAATAAGTGAACCAAGCCAAAGTGTGTTCGAGGGCCCCACAAAAGCTTAGGAAGAGAAATGCTTCCATTGTGGAACTATATTAATTCACCACTAACCATATTATGGGCCAAGCAGTGAGAAACTCCAAAGCCCGCACCGAAAAAAAAAAATCAGTTTGCAATTTTTCGCACTAGAATCAATTCATTCTCGGTCCAACGGGACGTAGGAACCGCTGTTCCCTAACAAAAGTCAACTTTAGAAAAGAGGAAAGTGTGTGTGTGTGTGGTGGGGCGGCCATTGTTCAATGGAACTCTTGGCCACCGGGTTGCACGAGAGCCGGAAATCTAATTTTGCTTCGAAGGAAATTCTCGCAGAATAGAAAAAAGGGTGAATAAAGAGCTCCTAATACAGATTTGCCCTCCTTCAAAGGAGAAGTAATGCTGGTGATGCTAAACACAGAATAAACCTTAACCGTGGAGTAATTCTGATCTGATTTCCTGATGTAGTATTTTAAATAGGTGGATAAAAATGCCAAATCCAGTCTAAACATCTGGCATCAGAGGCATAAAAGAAATATATATCTAATCTGGGGCTTGTATAACTTTGGGAAAGATGATCTCGTCCAGCTCTCTGCTCAGTGCTTTGGACTGGTTAGTTATTATTTCGGTTGTCGTTTTAACGATGATGATGATGATGATGATGATGATGATTTTAAGTTGCATTGTGCCATGTTCCCGACCCAAAAATACACGCGCCTCCTCTACATCAAGCCAGATTATCGCATAGCATGAACAACGCCTATTTGTCTGCTTAAAAACTCAATCAATCAAACCTTAGGGTCTTTAGGCCAGAGAACGCTACAATAAAAATACATAAGGCTATAATTACTGTAATCATAAGGCTAAAAAGTAGACATACCATGCAATAAAATACACTGGCTTAAAAACCAATTTTGAGCTAAAATGAATCAAAAAAAGCAAAAATAAGCAAATCAGGTCTGCAGAAAGGGCTTGCAATGCAATAGCGAAAACAGAGAGAAAATCTATCTATCTATCTATCTATCTATCTATCTATCTATCT